CACCCCAAAGCCCACAAAGAGCCGTCGCTCCGAGCGAAAGTCGAGAGGGAAGGAAACCTCTAGAAACTGGGTTTGGAAGATGAGCAGACTTCTTCGACGTCGCGTGGCGTTGCGGGATCCCCACGCCAAACCCTCAACCCTGAAAGCATGAAGCCCTAGACCCCGGCGTGCGGGTCCGTAATCGCCCAGCACGTCGGTCTGGATGGACTGGAGGTTCGTCACCCTTTTTGGCGATTCGGATTCGCTCAAGCCCAGAAGCCGCTCTTAACCTCTGGGGCTTGAGAAAATATGGCAAGGCAGAAGCCTTCGATCACATCACAACACGAGCTTCTTCAAAGCCTGAAGCCAGTGCCTCCGAACAAGCGACCCCAGCCATTGCATCCGAGAGGCTCAATGATGCCTACCTCGCCGCTCTGTGGATCGGGGTCATGTGGGTGTTGCGCAAATTAAGGCTTGCAACTGCCATTGGTTGAATGCCGGACTGCGCTTCTGAACCAACTGCTTTGCAGGGGAATTGTTACTAGCATCTTCCTCCAGCCCTTGCAAGAACGAGGAACTTGAAACTGAAGCTTGTTACCGATCTCGGAAGTTTGAGATTTCTGGCAGCCCAAGAAGCGAAAGTGACGATCTGGAGCCAGCCTGGAATCCAAGGAGAGTGGTGATCTATGTTTCTTACACAGCGTGACACTCAACACCTCTGGTGATTGAAACCCTCTCTTTGGCCTGCAGGAGTCGATGCTCAAGGAGGGTTTGGCTGGTTCATAACAGTGAAGGTTCTGCAACCTGTGTCCCTTCCGGGTACTATGCGTCCAGAACATGACCACACCGGGCAAAAGGAACCCTCTGCTCTCTGGTAACGATGTTCCGAAGGGTAGCAGAAGCTGGGAGCATGGGATTACTGTGGTTGGTCTCATCACAGAAGTTTTGACCACACAAAGGTCCGGGAAAAGATGCACGCGTTGCAGGTGGGCTCGGCTGCTTGGAGGAGGAGGAGGAGGAGGAGACTTTGGTAGCAAGCGGGGCTATGATTGGGGTTGCAACCCCAGGCACAATTGTATTTGTATCATTGCTTGAGAAGGTCCGCGGACCCTCCAAGAATGAAAACACTTCCTCTGAAAGCGACTAAGTATGGCACTGTCTAAGTCGCCTGACTCTCCAAGCCTAGGCTGCAACATGGGGCTATTTCGCTGTCCCTGTCGTGAGCATCACAAGGCCCAAGCCGTGCCATTGATTCTGCTCTTCTGAAGAGTTGTTGTTCACTCTCGTCGTCCTCGTGTTCTTCGAGCTTCCCCCAGCTTTTCTGGAGCTCCCCAGGCCTGCAAGTGGCACCATGGCCGCACCCTTCAGTCCGTTGGGGATGTCCTGGGTTTTGTGCTTACTGAGATGCTTGGGGTGGGGGGTAGGAGATTTTACAGGAGGGGGCTTCTTTATCATAGGAGATTGTGGCGGAGTGTGCAACAAAGTAGTCCTCGATTTCGGTCTATGCTAGGGCCCCTGTTCTTCTCGTTCTCGCATCGTGCATTGCTTGCGATTGCATTTAGGTCGACGTTCCGGTAGCAGGCAGGAAAGGGGTCGGGCAACATGCAGGGTTCGGGCCTTCAGGATGTAGGATCGAGATTTAAGGCCGGGGTCGCGGGATGGCGTAAGAAAAACTAGCCGATGATCTTCCGGAACTTCATGTCCAATGCAATGTAAGACCCACTCCTCAGTACTGCATGGTGTCCGAACTGAAGGTTGTTCGCTTCCTCAAAAGGGTAGACCCTCCCAACTCCAATCTGATTCTTTCCAATCCCTCAAGCTTTGTTCTTCTTGCCAGGGAGCCGTGAAGGCCAGGTTCTGGGAAGGTGCACAGTAGCCTTCAGAGATCTGATGGTGAAAGCTTCCTAAAGTTCCTAAAGCCTTTCCTGCGGTCTTACGGCTTAGAGCTTCGAGTTTAGCAACTTAAGAGTGCACTTCGGGGCTCTTTTGATCCCTGTCCCGGGAGCTCGGGGTCTTCGCAGCTTCGGGCTTCAGTCCAGGTTGTCGGAATTTCCGGACGACAGGTTGCCCTGGCTCTTAAGTCAGAAGCCCTTAACGAAGGCATCTTAATCGACCCGTCCATTCTTTGATGGGCAGCCCTGTCGAGGAGAACCCTGTTTCAGTTTGGATGTTGGCTTTCGGAATGCAACTTGAGGGCTTCCGACGCCTGGACCTCGGAAGTCGGGGTGCGGCAGGGTCCCTCGTCCCAGAAGTCTGGGTCCACAGGTTCCGTGACCCGTGGCGCCAGGGTAGCTTTGCCAAACACCGGCGAGAAATGCAACAGAGAATGGATCGAGGACTTAAGGGTTCAGGTGGCAGGAAGCAGGCATCCTACAAACCGGGCCAACAAGGGTCTTCGGGGATCGCATACCCCACCGTTCACTAGTGCTTTCAAGCACCGAAACCGAAAGTTCAGAGCCCCATGAGCTTGGTCTCGGCAGAGCCGGCCTGGGAAGCGCACGAACTCTGGGACGATGTAGCCAATGCAGGCAAGCATTGCAACCTTGGCACGGGAGCTGAACAGATGTCTCGCACCGACAGAGAACACAGACACACAGAGGGCAGACAACCACCTCTCTCTCGGAGGGACGAAGACTGGACTGGAAAGTCTTAGGGGGCTCTGGGGAGCGAAGAAGATAGCTTTGCATGTTGAAAGACAGTGAAGGGCTTCGAGTTTCGTGAAAGTTCCGTCTTCAAGTTCCGGAGGTTAGGTGCTGGGTTTCATGGTGATTCCGTGGATCTTCGCACTTAAAACCTTGCTCTTGCTTATAGGCTTCGTCTTACGTAGCAGTCTCATGGCGAAGTTTGAAGCCCGAAGCTGGAGCATCGGCCCTTCCCAACCTAATATGCATGCCAGACTTACGAAGGCCGAGCAGTATATAAATCTCCACAGAAAGGAATATAGATAAGAGGGCCTCATGAAAAATGATGGGACGTGGAGGCTTGCCCTGCTGGTCACATTGCAGTCTCTTCGGTTCAAGACGAAAGCAACCGACTAAAGAAGTAGCCCTAGGAATTCACTTTCTAGGCCCCACACTCGTCCGTGCTGGATCTCGATGATCCTTCGTCGCTTGAACTGCGCCGCCGCGATCTGTTGGCGGGAAGTGAACGCGCGGGGAGTCCGATGGTTTAGCACTGCGGGTTTTCGAGATGACCTACAACAGACAGAAAGGATTGAGCGGGCATGGAATTTGCGGGTGCAGGACATGGGGCTTCGGCTTCAGGTACTGGAGATGAGGGGTTCGAACTTCATCGAGGGTGGCTGTGTAAGGCAGAGCTGCTTTACCTGAAGTGCCGCAACTATTTGCTGTTTTAAAGCTATTCTGACCCAGAGGCTGCAAACTGCCACAAAGCCCTGCAATTCCAACTGCCGACGACCTGCCTAAATCCTTCCCAAGCCCTGCATAAACCACTCCGAAAGGCCACAGGGTCGTCGAACTTGCTGAGGCCAAGAGGGTCGAAGAATCCCAGAGGCGGCGTCACTCCGAGCTCCTTTCGACTTCCCGGTGCAAGGCTTCAGAGCTGGAGCTTGAAAGGTTTCACAGAATCCACGAAACCTCTGCTGTAGACGCCCGAAATGCAGAAAATGAGTCTACCCTCAGGTCCGTTACAGCTAATCCTGAAACCATCCGTTGAACGAATCTTGAGCGATCCCGACAACACAAGCTGTGTAGAAGACCTCGCAGACTATTCCAAGACCTAGACCAACCAGCCTGTCGAACCCTGGCACAACACGTATAGAGCCTCTATAACACTAACCACAACAGAAACTTCTTGACCTTTTGTTCACTTCGATTCTTCCCCCTTGCTGCAGAGGCTCCGCAGAGAAGTCGGGGGCCGCACGCAGAGGGGAGTCGGTGTAGTTGGCCCAGTCACCTTGGGCTTCGATTTTCCCCCCGAAAGTGCTGGGCTACCGCTTGAAGACCTCAGGCTTCCTAACAGACTGAAGATCCGCACTATAAGGGTTCCTTCAAGAAGAGGGGCCCCAGACTTTAGCCCCGCCCCGCGCCCAAGATTGGACTGGTCCACTGTCGTGAAGCTTCGACGTTCGAGGTCTTGGTGTATGCGGACTTAGGAGCTTCTTGAAGGTGCGGGTGCCTTATGCAGAGTGTCCCCATTACAAGGATCCTATTCAAGATCGAATTTTTGCGGGTCATGTCAGGGTCAAGGCCGTTGAGCTGTCGGGCTTCGGGGTTAGATTGAACCAATTATAGGCATTATCATAGACTTTAGGGTTCAGGTGCGTGGCGGTCTTGTTTTCAGTTGCCTGTGCTTGTTGCAAATCCACAGGCTCTCAACTGCAGGACTGCACGTCACTTCCGTGGCAGGACTGCTATGCATGCACTAGCATGAGCAAGCCAGCAGACAAAGGCCTTGGAATCGTGGCCTTCGCCATGTCACAAGCCATGCCGAGTACGCTTCGCTTCGGACGCGACTGCACAGTTCCCATTGTTCAAAGCCCGTCACTCATGAGTTCACATCGACACGTGGTAGATGTTGGACAGGTCTGACAAGGCCAGCCAAGGAGCCCCAGGCGGATCCAGTTAGGCCATCCTGGAAGAACATTCCTCGCGGGCTTCGGAAGATCGAGGGCTCTGGGCGTAAGCCTTTCGCACGGCATTTTTCTGAAACGGGGTAGGCAACACCTGATCCGACTCAGCAAGTTGGATTTCGAGCCATGGGCAGTCGCTGAAGCTTCTCAGGAGTTCTGGGGTGGGCATGCGATGAACCAGGCGACTTGAGTTAAACTCTTAAACCTTACGCGTCCTAACGGTACGCCCTCACAGCCCAAAATGAATCCTACAGCCGCAAGCCGAAACCGGATTCATTCACCAAACTCCCGATCCAGTCCTCCAGGCCCAACCCAAACCCCAACGAGTGGATTTTCCAACCGAGGAAGAAACCCAGAGTGTTGCACACTGGGAATTTCCACAGGGGAGAAACACAGGACCAAGATTCGTCCAAATGCGCAGTCAAGGTTCCGATGATGGCGAACATCGCGAGCCTTCCGTTGTTGATCTCCGCGTTCAGGCTCTTCATCTTCTTCTCCGGGTCCTCTCTTCTCTCGGTGAAGGATGGGGCTTGAAAGCTTGAAGTTGCTACTGGAATGAAACTCTTTTCCTTTACAGTACCGCCTTTGCCTGATGCCCGCAGAAGCCTCTTCCTGAGGGCACGACTGAGAGCCCCGACCTGGCTGTGGTAGACAGGAAGGGCAAAGCTGTCCGCTGTCCTCGATCTTCTTGCCGAAGGGGAGGCCGAAGGCACCATAGCCTTTGCTGGGCTTCCGACCAGGGCTTCACTGGGAGATCCGTTCTTTAAGGACTTGTGGCTTCGGGGATGGGGATTCGGGGTCGAGTAGATGCTGTTGGAGTCCATGATCCAAGGCTCAGAGGGCGGAAGGTGAAGATGCATTTAGCGCTGCAAGGCTCTGACGGTTGTGGGGTTTTCGGTTGGGGGTTCGCAATGGTTTTTCAGACGACTGCTGCCCGTGCTTGCAAGAAGCCCCCGCCGAACCTGAGAGAGAGAGAGAGAGAGCAAGACGGGAAGTCGACCTCAGCTCTAAAGGCATTCCTGAAGGCTTGCCTTCGATTGAAACCGCCTAGCCCCAGCGAGACCAAACAAACAGCTTACACCGCATTCAGGATCGTTCTTCGGCCTCGGAATCTTGAGAAGACCAGCTAGTTTTGTCTTCTGAACTGAAGCTCCGGGTGGGATTTGGGAGCCACCACTCCACCCAAAGCACCTTTCGCTAAGGAGCTGTAACACGGACAAAAATAAGTATAACAACTTGAGTAAGACATATATAAAACTAAAAAGAGCCCTCCGTCCCTGCAAGCGGGAGGCCGTAGTCGCCAAGGATGTCCGTCTGAATGTTCTGGAGGTTGGAGACCCTCGCATTTTGAGGGAACAACGCAACTGCAACTCTACACTCCCGGGTGAGGTATGCCGGCATATTATTACCCATGCGCACATGAAGATCGTGGTAGCACACTATACTTACATGTCCAACGCTCGAAGCGGAAGGTGGAATGGGAACAAAGATCTCGGGTTTTCGAGTTCCGGATGTCATGAAAGGATGCACGAACTTGGGGTCTACAGTTTTGGAGAGCTCTGGCTTGGATACAGGGCTTGGGCTTGGGGTTAAGGGTCGAGGGTCAGGGAGTGAGGGTTGGGGCTTTTGGTTTAGGATCAAGAGACTTTCTTCGGCGGTTTTGAATCCGTGGATTGTTTGTTTGGAATTCGGATCTTCCAGACTGGAAATCGGAAATCGAGCATTCAGGAAGAGAGCACGAAATCCCCGGACCCCCTTAGTTCCAAACTGCAGAGCCTCAAATACCCCATTCCGAACTACTCCTTACATGCTGGCTTGTCTGGGTCAGCTCTTGGATTCAACCCATATACCCCTGCGTGGAGCTACGCACTCCAACATCTTTCAACACCTGCGGGGTACGAAGATGGGAGAGACAAGCGATAGACTAGATGTTGCAACATCGAACTGTAGCAGCGTCGGTGCAAGACTGGATCTTGTACTAATTTACGCACTTTGCACTTTTACATATTTTCAGAGTGTGTTCTGATTCAGCTGCAACTCTACGGCAGCAGAACCTTCTTTGACGAGGATCAGCATACTTCCTACTCTTCAGTCTTGGGGTCCCCATCCAACTTCCTGTTGCGACGAAACTTTCAAGGCAAAAGCCTTGCACACCGAAGTAACCAGAAGAAATCATAAAGAACCTTCGGGAGCCCCATTGCTTCGGGGAGGTTTCTTCCTGGTGCTGCCGAGGCGCTCGATGATGCCGACCTTTCTTTCTTTGACTATTTAAGGTGCTGCAGAGGCTCCACAGCGGCTTCTTCGCGGATTACGAGTTCGGGCCTAGAGAATTTGCCAAAGAGCAACAGGAACAAACCACTTGATAAAGAGGCACTTTGAGAAAGAGGAGCCAACCAGTCAAACGAAAAACAAACAGTCGAATCACGCACAGGACTAGAAACTTTGACAAAGACGCGAATTTGAGAAAGATACAGACCAAACCGCTCCAAAGGAACTAAGGAATTTCATAAAAGAAGATTTCAAGGAGGAGGAGAAACGCGTCCAACGCGACTAGAAAAGTCGAGAATTTGACAAGCAGGTACTCTTGAGCAAGAGAAGCAAACCAGTCGAGAGGGTCGACAAAAATGGACAAAGGAGCAGGCCACTCGAAATGAACTAGAATTTTTGACAAGAGGGAAATTTTACGATTTCGCTGCAAACCAATCGAAGAAACAGTTGCAAACTGCACTCAAGGAACCAGCGAGAATTTGGCAAACAGGCGAACTTGAGAAAGAGAAGCAAACGAGTTGAAAGGGCCTGGACAATGGACAAACAAGAGCAAGCCACTCGAGAGAGGGACTAGACATCTTGCCAGAACGGGAAGCTTGCGAAAGCGGGGCAAACCAATCGAAAGGAGCTAAGCAGTAGCAAACCGCCCGAAACGGAATAGCGAGACTATGACAGACAGGAGAACTTGAGAACGAGGAGCTAGAAAACATGAGTAAGCTACCCGAAAGGGACCAGATATTTTCAGAAAAGGGAGAGTTTATGAAGAGTTTGCGAACCAAGCGAAAGGAAGCGGAACAGTTGAGCAGAATCAAGATCATGTGCCAAAGAGGAGAAAAGGGCAAAACGGAGCAAAAGAGTCCGAAACGGATTCACAAGTTGAAAAACAGTAGCAAACCGCCTGAAGAAAGACTCTAGAGCAGTTGACAAAGAAGAGGAGACCTATCGAACAGAGCTTCCGAATTGCAAGGCTAGGCCGAGCAAGCGGGACGCTGAAAGCGGACCAAAGGCCCGAATTATGAGCTGCAGAAGCCCCAGTATCCCTGAGTTCAACAGCTCAAGCCACAACGGAAGTTCCTTACGAAAAAAGGCCCAGGCAACTCATATGTACTGAAGCCTCGAGAACAAGCAAGAAGCCTATCGAACCCGAACCCACAAACGACGGTCTCACAGCATCTGGGCCCCGGGCGAAGGTGACGATCTGGAGCCATCCTCCAGCAAGTCTTCACTGGTATTCACTAGGCACTGCAAGGGTCTGGAAGAACTGGGGCATCAAGCTACGAAAAAAAGCCCTTGAATAGATCTCAAACCCCAAACCCTGTCCCCTGCATGTAACCCCAGCAACCTTACGGGTAAGGGGTCAACTCAAAACACAAAAGGGGTCAAATCGAACACAAAAAAGGGTCAAATCTAAACACAAAAAGGGGTCAAACACAAAAAGTGTAGACAGGCGCAATAGTTTCGAAGATCCAAGCCCCAAAACTATGTCGCGCCGTTTGCGCACAGTCTGCAGTGTTGTGGCAGTCACGCGAGGAGCAGAGGGGAAGCACGAGCCCAGACTCAAAACCTGGGGTTATGTCAGTCTGGGTTTTGGACTTCGGTTTAGAGGCTCAATTTTGCAATTCCCACTCTAAGGTTTCGGCTCAAGGTCTCAGGTTTGCATGAGACTGAAGGGGTTCAGGAACTCTTGGTTTTGGGTCTGTGGCGTGGATTGGAGGGGTCGAAGCTTTCAGAAGGTCCCATCTTCTGTTTATCGAACTTTGGTTTGGGTGCGGTTTGTGTGCGTTGCGCCAAGCCACACGCGCTAGGCCGCGTCGAGAGAAGGAAGCCTGCAGCGTCTCTTCTGCCAGTCCTTAGTGAACGCTGGGCTGAGGGGCGACGCGATGCCCATGGACACGGCAGTCCTGGCCACTGAGCCTGCCCCCCGTGGAGGAGGTTAAGAAACCCCCCGTCGCGGAGGTTCCCCTCCCCGGACGTGACGTCGGGGTGAGGACCTTTTCCCGCAGGAAAGGGCGAAAATGGAAGCTGAAGTGGCCGAATTCTCCAAGAAGATGGAAGCCCATTGGTGGTCGAAGGCCGACGCCAAGGACTGGGATTCAGTTGCAACTAACCTCGAAGTTTACGCCTTAGCGGGTCAAGCTGT